TATGTTTGTAGAGTAATAGAGACGGGTCTGATTTACTAAAGGTGAACCCGAGGGACTGGAGAGAATTGGTGAGTGTTTGAAACCATTCTCACGGAGCTTGCTTAAGTCCATAAATGGTTTTATGTAATTTGCAGACATAATACGGATACGTTTCATCTATAAAACCTTGCGGTTGCTTCATGTATACTTCCTCCTGTAATTTCCCGTGCAAGAATGCATTGGAGATATCCAATTGTAGAACAGGCCAGCTATAATGCAGAGCAATGGTAAGTAAGATGCGAATAGTAGGCATTTTTGCAACTGGACTAAAGGTATCCTTGTAGTCTATGCCAAATTGTTGGTTAAAGCCTTGTGCAACTAGGCGAGCCTTATATCGTTCAAGGGTGCCATCGGGTTTGAGTTTAGTGCGAAAGGTCCACCGATTTCCAAGAATAACTCGATTGGCAGGAGCTGGAACTAATGACCACGTGGCTTGTTTTTGAAGAGCTGTAATTTCTTCAGACATAGCTGATCTCCAATGGACAGATTTGGTAGCTTGGCTGAAGCAGGTAGGGGTGAAGTGAGGATGCTGGGTGGCTAGAAGATTGAACTGCTGTTTGGGTTTTAGATGACCTGTTTTAGATCTCGTGATCATAGGATGAGGCAGAGGGAAGGTAGTGGGAAGTGGTTCAGATGGAGAGGGCTGAGGTGGAACGATAGTATGGGATGAGGAGGATTGTGTAGGAAGATCCGTGGATGAGATAAGTTGGTGAGAATTGAGTGAAGGTAGAGATGAAGTGACGGGATCTACAGAGGGAGATTTGGGAGGATTATGTTGAGGTGCAGAAATTGTGGAAATAGGAATAAGTGTGAGAGGTGAACTGTTGGTTGTTGGAAGTGAGTTAGATGTAGAAGACGGAGGTATGGGATGAGGAAAGATGTGTTCGTGGAACACAACGTGGCGGGAAATATGAATCTTGCCGGTTTGGATGTTTATGCACCTGTAACCTTTGTGTGAGGGAGAATACCCAACAAAGATACATGCGGTGGATCGTGGGTGTAATTTATTGGGTGTAGATGGTTTAAGCCAAGGGTAGCATAGGCATCCAAAGGTTTTTAAATGAGTGTAGGAGGGTTGTTGACGATGTAGTAAGTGATAGGGAGTATCGAAGTGAAGTGTTTTAGATGGTAGCCGATTGATAAGATAGTTGGCTGTGTGTAATGCTTCCAACCAAAACTTGAGAGGTAAGTGAGCGGCGTGGAGAAGAGTTCTAGTAGTCTCGATGAGATGACGATGTTTCCTTTCCGAAACACCATTTTGTTCTGGTGTATAGGGACAGCTCATTTGATGTTGAATGCCATGTTGGGATAAGAACGTGCTGAAGTTGGTGGAACGATACTCACCGCCACCATCAGATCTTAAAATTTTAAGAGTGGTGTTGAATTGGGTCTTTATGAGATTAAAGAAATGCTGAAATTTTAAGAAGGTTTCTGCTTTATTGTGCATTGGGTATATCCATGAGAAGCGAGAGTAATCGTCAACGAATAATACATAGTAATTATAACCACTTAATGAAGAACAAGGAGCAAGGCCCCATACATCGGAATGAACAAGTGCAAAAGGTTGAGAAGTTTTCATTTCATTAGAGGTAAAAGATAGTTTGTGGCTTTTGGCCACATTACATGAGTCACATTGAAAGGAAGTACTAGTTGAAATACATATGGTAGAGTTATGCCTAGCTAAGTGTTGAAGCAGTTGGAGATGAGGATGGCCCAACCGAGCATGCCACGTTGTGGTTGATTTTTGTTGATTGTGGAGAGCGGTGATGGTGGTGGAAGGTATGACATATAGACCGTCTCGGCTTCGACCTTTAAGGATAGTTTGATTGGTCTGATTGTCCTTTATAGTGAAGCCAAAGGTGTCAAAGCAAACGGAGCAATCATTGTCAGCAGTGAGTTTTTGAATGGACAAAAGATTGTGAGTAAGTGAAGGGACATGTAACAGTTTTTGAAGATATAACTTACGTGGAGTATTGGGTAGAGGAAGTATGCCCTGGCCAGTGGAATTGATCGGGAGAGAGGTGCCATTTCTATGGAGATACTGTCAGAACCTGTATAAGGCGACGGGTGTTGAAGTTGGAGGGGATCGGAGGTGAGATGAGAGGAAGCGCCCGAGTCCAAGTACCAATCTGTAGGAGATGCATTTTGTTGATTTTTGAAGAAACTTCGCTGAGTGGTTGGCGTCGTGGGAGTGTATGAGAGATTAGTTCTATGCCAACAGTGCATAGCTATATGGCCTGGTTTGTTGTAGATTTGACACATTACTCGAGCAGTGGATTGATTACGGGGAGGTCGACTGTTTGAATTGGGTGGTCGCGGTGAAGATCCTCTGTTTGAGCTGAACCGACCTCTATTAGATCTGTTTTGATCTGGAGCAGCACTCCTTAAGGATGTATTTTTGAAGGCGTTTAGAGCAACGGCTTCCATGGAGGCTGTAGTGTCTTTGACAATATCCTTTTGTATGTTGATTTCTTCACTGATCAAGAGTGAATAGAGCTCATCCAGTGGAATGGAAGACGGTCTAGTGCGTATAGCTGTCTTAAAGGCATTGTAGGATGGAGGTAGTCCATTCAAGATGTGTAAAATGATGTCTTCATGATCTACATTGGATCCAGCAGCGGATATATTATCGACTAAGGCTTTTACCTGAGTGAGGTACTGATTCACCGAGAGGTCCTTCATTTCGATGCAGTGGAGCTCATTCTTGAGTTGGATAACTCTAGAACGATTTGTTGGTTGAAGACGCTTCTCCAATGCTTCCCGGACTTCATGTGCAGTGTGGAGTGTTAGCACGTATGGAAGGATGCTCGGTGAAATTGTTGAAAACAAGGCGGCAGCTAGATTTTGATCCGTTAATTGCCAAAGTTGATGTTTTGGATTCAAAACGACATCTCCAGTCGCCGAAGGGCTGTATTTTGGAGGACAGATTTCGGTTCCATCAAGGAACCCATCAAAACCATTAGCCGAAAAGATTTTGAGTATTTGTAGTTTCCAAATAGCATGATTGTCACTATTGAGCTGAATGTTAACAATATGCTTTATATTGGAGATAATAAACTTTAAAGAAACCGGAATGGTGATTTCCGATCGGTTGCTGTTGCAGAGACGATCTGCGGCGTCGACGAGATCTGGCTATCTCCCATGAGTTGGTTTGAAGGAGGAGCTAAACCTGGTTAGCTCTGATACCATGAAATAACCTGCAATGACAAGGTTAGATAAAGCAGAACTTAGAATTTAGAACTGAGAAGAAGCAGAACAGGGGAAGAGGAAGCTTCGGTATTCATTTCTCCATAGTAGTTTTGCTGATACATTTGAGTATTTAACAATAGTAAAAGGAGTCAAGTTAGTTGGAGAAATCAGAAGTTGTAGAGGAGTCAGGCGGCGCTGGTGGAGTCCATTTCCGGTGATGATGCACTGCAGAGGAAGTGGAGCAGTGGGATATAAGTCGCTTGGCTTATATAAGCTTGCTAGCTTATCACGTGTGTTAACAGCCCCCCTCAAACTTATGGTTCGAGAGATTGAACGGTAAGTTTGTCTCTAAGCATAGTGAATCGAGCGAGAGACAATGGTTTAGTGAGTATATCTGCCGGTTGATCGGTTGAATGTATGTGCTGCACATCGATATCTTTAGAAAGAATGCGTTCCCGAATGAAATGATAATCAATTTCGATGTGCTTTGTTCTAGCGTGGAAAATAGGATTGTTTGCTAGAGCTAGAGCAGAAGTATTGTCACATAACAGTGTAGTAGGTGAGTGCAAGAACACTTCAAAATCAGCAATTAACCTGCGAAGCCAAATGATATCCGAACTAGCAGCGGCTAGTGATCTATACTCAGCTTCCGTGGAGGATTTTGCAACGGTAGGTTGTTTCTTGACACACCATGAGACTAGTGTATTGCCCAAAAACGTGCAGAATCCATAGATTGATTTGCGGTCTTGAGGATCTGATGCCCAATCAGAGTCAGAGAAGGTTGTGAGAAGAAGATTACCTCTAGTGACTAGAAGACCGAAGGAATGTGTTCCTTTGATGTAGCGTAACAGCCGCTTGAGAGTGTTGAAGTCTTGGTCCGTGGGACTATGCATGTGTTGGCAGATACGATTAGTTGTGTATGCAATATCTGGACGTGTGATGGTCAAGTATTGCAAAGAACCGGCAATTTGTCTATATTTCTTGGGGTCGGAATCCAGAAATTTGCTGGAACTAAGAATCGGTTTGAGAGCAATTGGAGTCCGTGAATGTTGACAATCTGTTAAGCCAGCGGATTGTAAGATTTCTTGGGCATATTGCGACTGATGGAGGAAATAACCATTTGGCTTATGAAGAACTTGAATGCCCAGGAAAAACGAAATGGGGCCTAGTTCTTTTAAGGAGAACTGTTTTTGCAATTGAGTGATGAGCCAAGAAATGCTGGACCGATCATTACCGGATATTAGGATGTCATCAACGTACAGCAGCATATAAATTTGAATGCCATTATGTTTGTAGAGTAATAGAGACGGGTCTGATTTACTGAAGGTGAACCCGAGGGACTGGAGAGAATTGGTGAGTGTTTGAAACCATTCTCACGGAGCTTGCTTAAGTCCATAAATGGTTTTATGTAATTTGCAGACATAATCGGGCCCCACCAAGCAGAGTGGTGCGCTGATTGCAGCCCACCACAGCTACCCCTCCTCCACCAACTACCGTCCTCACCTTACCTACCGCTCGTATGTTTTACCATTCAATGCCATCTAATTCTGTAATTATAAAAAGAATTTAAGAAATATCACATTAACCTCAATTTTAATATTTATTTTTCATTTCTGTCTTAATTTTTAACTTAATTAGCATTATTGTAAATAACAAAAAATAATAAAAATTTAACTGATTAGACAAATTATGATATGCTTATCGGAACCTAATTTTCTTCTCTCTCCAATCTTACTCTGGTTTCTGCTATAAATAAAGCCTGACTCGCCCTCTCCCATTCGCGCCGTGCCATTCTGTGCCTCCGATATCTGCTCTCTTCCTCTCACTTCTTCGAGACCGAGATTCACTCACCGCAGAAGGTGAGCGCTTTTATCTCCGTCGATATTCTCTCTCCGCCTGCCGTTTCCATAGATTTTTAGGCTGTCTAGGTCTTTCGCTTCTTCTCTAGTTCTATTGTAAATCTCGCCTGCGTCAACTAGGTGTCCGTTCTCCCAGATCTGATCTAGAGTTTCTATCTTGCTTGCTTTTTCGTTCGAGTTTTTGGTGAGTGGGATCCGCCGTAGGGGGTGTTGGATCTGTGAGATTTTATGGCTTTTCTTGCTGTTGTAAGGATGGTGATTGTACGTAGGGTGTTGACGAGTTTATCTAGGTTTTTTTTTTAATGTTGGACTCATTATGAGTTGTATGAGATGTCGTTGTCTTGAATATGGTTTTGATGAAATGGGAGGGTTTAATTTGAGATCTGGTTCTAGGCGATTTTGGATAGGTAGATCTGGACTGTAGATTCGGGGATTTATATGACGTATAGAGGTTTTCCATTGGGCTGATCTGTGATTCGATGTATGAACCATGTCAAGGAAGCTATGGTTCAACGGATCTAACTTTTTTCCTTTTTCTGTAACTTTGCTCTATTTCGCTTGAAGATCTGGAGGTCGGGTGCTGTATTATTCTTTGTCATATGGAATCGTTTTAGGTTTTTTTTTTTTTTTCAACTTTTTTGTTTTTGTCGGACTAGTGCTATGCCAAGTTTTGTCAGTCCATTAGTTGAAATAAGCGGCTCTAGAAATTTTTGATTCTGCACTTTGTTAAAATGTGTTGCTAAATTAATTTTAGAATAGCTTTCGTAGTCCCCGGTTTAAAAACCAGCATTATTCTTTCATATTTTTATTGTTATTGTTTTCATAAGATTTACCTTTCATTCTGAAGTTTGTAAATTTATATTTTGAATTTGTTCCTTTTAGAAAGGAAAGGCAGGGGCTAGCCAAAGTAATCTAAACGCCAAGTTTTCAATCCTTAATAAGAAAACTTTTCATTATTTATCGTTCTTGAAGTTTTTTCTTGATTCGCTCAACTTAAATATTCAAATATCAAATTAATTGATTGGCCAACCATTTGTGCGTTGAATCTGTGGATTCTGTTTATAGTAAATGGAATTTTGTTGTTTCACCTAATATGAAAAATCGAGCGTTCCAGTTCTTTATTCTTTTCACCTAAAAATATTTAAGTACTTGCTGAGTTTAATGGCTTGTATTCATTTGGCTTTGATACAATCTGATTATATTATTTTAACGCACAGAAACATGGCGTCACACATTGTTGGATACCCTAGAATGGGGCCAAAGAGAGAGCTTAAGTTCGCCTTGGAGTCATTTTGGGATGGCAAAAGCACTGCAGAGGATTTGCAGAAGGTTTCTGCTGATCTGAGATCTTCCATTTGGAAGCAGATGGCTGCTGCTGGGATCAAGTACATTCCAAGCAACACCTTTTCCTACTATGATCAAGTTCTTGACACTACTGCTTTACTCGGGGCAGTTCCTGAGAGATATAATTGGAATGGTGGTGAGATCGGTTTTGACACTTACTTCTCCATGGCTAGAGGAAATGCCTCTGTACCTGCTATGGAGATGACAAAATGGTTTGACACTAACTAGTAAGTCACGCACACTATCTTAAGCCAATTGCAATATGCATTTACTTGTTTGATTTCAATTTATCCTTTCATACTCCTTTTGTTCTGATATTCATACTAATATTCCTTTTATTTGACTTTGTTGATCCAGCCACTTTATTGTCCCTGAATTGGGCCCCAACACCAAGTTCTCATATGCATCTCACAAGGCGGTCTCTGAGTACAAAGAGGCAAAGGCGGTATGTACTTTTTTTTTTGGGTATATCCAACTTGATTAGTTCATCTTAAATTATGATTTAATGCCCTGATGTATTCCTCTATCTGGACTTCATGTTTTATTGTAACTAGCAGTCAATTTTAATGCAGAAAAGTATCTGAACAATTCCATCATAACTTTTTAGTAGTAACTAAGGAATTTTATCAAAACTATTCAATGGTGCTTTTTCTGTGTTAATTAACGAAACCTAAAGCTCTTTTTTTTTTATTCTCGTGAACCTGAGAGGAGGATTGATTGATTTCATTTTTATGAATTTATAATTATCATTACTAGTTAGCTAAAGCTTGGTAAATGGCCACATTTGGCACACTATCTATTAAAACAGGTTGGTTTAAGCAATAAAAATTCAGCCTAATTTTGTTTACCAAAAACTGGGTCTACGTACTTAATGCTGAAGCTATTTTCTTTCAGCTTGGGGTTGATACAGTTCCTGTCCTTGTTGGGCCCGTGACATACTTATTGCTCTCTAAGCCTGCCAAAGGTGTTGAAAAGACGTTCTCTCTTCTCTCTCTTCTTGACAACATTCTGCCGATCTACAAGTAAGAGTCTAATACACGAACTATGATGCTTGATGATTTGTTTCCATTTTCTGTCTAGTTTTTTGTTGCTTACACAATCTATAAATTTACAGGGAAGTTGTTGCCGAGTTGAAGGCAGCTGGTGCTTCATGGATTCAGTTTGATGAGCCCACCCTTGTCAAGGATCTTGATTCTCATCAGTTGGAGGCCTTTACCAAGGCCTATACAGAGCTTGAGTCGTCCTTTTCTGGACTGAAAGTGGTCATTGAGACCTATTTCGCCGATGTCCCTGTTAAGGCATACAAGTTAGTCCATTTTCATTCATCTCAATGAACAATCATGTCAATTGTCAATGAAGATTACTCAAATTACTTCCCAATTCAGGACTATTACTTCCTTGAACGCCATCACTGGATTCGGATTTGATCTTGTTCGTGGAACCAAGACCCTTGATGTGATCAAAAGTGAGGGCTTCCCATCTGGAAAGTATCTGTTTGCTGGTGTTGTGGATGGAAGGAACATTTGGGCGAATGATCTCACCGCCTCCCTGAGCACCCTTGAGGCCCTTGAGGGTATTGTTGGTAAAGGTATAGTATATATTTGTTTGCTATTCTTTTTTGATGTATATAATATTTCATCAAGTTAAGTTTTAATTCTTTTTTTTTTTCTTGCAGACAAACTTGTTGTCTCAACATCTTCCTCCCTCCTTCACACCGCTGTTGATCTTGTAAATGAGACAAAGTTGGATGATGAAATCAAGTCTTGGCTGGCCTTTGCTGCCCAGAAAGTGTTGGAAGTTAATGCACTTGCAAAGGCTTTGGCTGGCCAAAAGGATGAGGTATTTTTATTTCTGAAACCTTCATTGTCTACAGCATCTTTCCACCAGTTTCAAAATTTTCATTCTACATAAAACTTTCGAGATAGCTATTGTCAGTTCTAGGGTTAGTTTGGGTGGCCAGTTCTTTAAGCTGAATTTTTATTTTAAAAAATAGAATATTTTGATGCTTTTTGTGTCAAGGTGGTTTTAATTTTAATTTATATCTTTTATTTCACGTGTCACGTCTTATTCCTCAATACAACTAAATTATTTGAGACTCACAAGTAAAATTATGATAGAAAAAAAAGGATGAGATAAAATCTCTAGAGGTAATTTTATTAATATCTTTAAGACTACATGAATATTTTAAAGAAATTTGCATAATGTATGCATAAAAGATTAATATAATAAAATTACGAGATAATATAAGTAAATTGTTGGGCATTCACAAGTATATGCATAACATAAAACATATAAGAATCAATAGGATTACATGAAAGCATGGGACATGCGTATTAAAAATCGCCTTATCCTGGATTAATTATTCTGTGCGGATGTCGAATGTCATCCGGAGACCAACTAGAATATGCCACGTCACCCCTTTGTTGTGTATTGCGGCTCAGTATTGTTCTGCACCGCTCGGTACCACAGCTCTGTAGCACTGACGTGGCTACACTTTATTCGCATCCGGACGTAGAGCTGCGTCCAGCCTCTGCACAGAATAATTTATCCTTATCCTAATATAGATGTATCAGGATATCTAGACAGTAAGTTTAATTTTTTTTTCCATTTTATTCTCTCATTTACTTGGTGCTGTGTAAGAAATATATCTGTTATTTGTAAATTAAGACCAATCGCCAATATTTCTAGGCATTCTTCTCCGCAAATGCTGCTGCTCAAGCTTCGAGGAAGTCATCTCCTCGCGTGACCAATCCTGAGGTCCAGAAAGCTGTAAGTTGCTGATGATTATTGTCTTGTATTTCACTGCTTTCTATATCACCATATGACATAATACGTGATCATTTTCTATGATCAGGCTGCTGCTTTAAAGGGCTCGGACCACCGCCGAGCTACAAATGTCAGTGCCAGGTTGGATGCCCAGCAAAAGAAACTCAACCTTCCAATTCTCCCAACCACCACCATTGGTTCCTTCCCCCAGACCATTGAACTGCGAAGAGTTCGCCGTGAGTACAAGGCCAACAAGTGAGTTTTCCATTATCTCCTTGAAGTTACCATTCTTTAACTGA